TCAAGGGCATGTATCTTGGTTGCAGGCACATACCCAGTAGGGAGTGTGCAGAAGGCAGCTGATTGATGTTTCTCTCTCATTGATGTTTCTAACTTTCTATCCCTCTCCCTTCCTCTCTGTAAAAAAAATCAATAAAATATATTTTTTAAAAAAGACCTAAGGTAAAAACCCACAGGACCACCCTGGCTGGTATGCCTCAGTGGTTGGAGTGTTGGGCCACAGACCAAAGGGTCTCAGGTTTGATTCCCAGTTAAGGGCATGTATCTGGATTGCAGGTTCAATCCATGTCCCCAGTAGGGGCGCATGTAGGAGGGGACCAATCAATATGCTTCTCTCCTCCTCCTCTCCTTCCCCTCTCCTCCCCCATACCAGAATCGAACCTGGGACCCTTCAGTCCACAGGCCAACACTCTATCCACTGAGCCAAACCAGTCAGGGCTCTTTAGAAGGAAGATAAAACAACCTCAAAAAGAATGATGTATATAACGGATTAATTTCCAGAGCATTCACAGACGCCATTTATGTTGCAAGTCTTCCTTCCTGAATTGTTTTCAATTTTCAATTGAGGGGATATTTTAAAGCAAATAGATGAACCTGGTGAAAAGGAGAAAGAGAGTGAGGAGGGAGTGTGGGAAAGAGAGGCTTTGTAATGACTTCCATGTGAGGACAGCCTGGAACCCCTTTCTCCAACCTCAATTCCGTCCATCCTATCTTTCACTTTATGGTTGGAACACATCATAATTCCCCAACTTGTACACCATTTCAAACCTCTGGGGTCTTACTTGGACTGCTCTGTGTCCATGTAGAGTTCTTTTTCCCTCCTTTTGGTACGGATTCAAAACCCTCTGCCTTTCTCCTATCCTTCCTCTAGGGAAAAAGAAGAGAGGAGAAGAGCCCTGACAGGTTTGGCTCAGTGGATAGAGCGTCGGCCTGCGGACTGAAGGGTACCAGGTTCGATTCTGGTCATAGGACGGAGAGGAGGAGAAGGGAGAGGAGGAGAAGGGAGAGGAGGAGAAAGGAGAAAAGGAGGAGAAGGGAGAGGAGAAGGTTGTTCCTACAACCAAGATGGCAGATCTGTCTTCTCCTAGGTCAGTGGTCGGCAAACTGTGGCTCGGGAGCCACATGCGGCTCTTTGGCCCCTTGAGTGTGGCTCTTCCACAAAATACCACGTGTGGGCGCGCACGTACAGTGTGATTGAAACTTCGTGGCCCATGTGCAGAAGTCGGTTTTCGGCCTGGGCGAGTCTATTTTGAAGAAGTGGCGTTAGAAACAGCAAAGTGACGTTAGCCTTTTTTTAACAATGCTACTGTAACAGAATTAAATTTTTCTCCCTTTAATATTGACATTGGCAACTTTGAAATGCAATTGCTGGACTTACAAAGAACTGTGAACTTGCTGTCCAGTGGTGTCTAAAACCATTACTGCATCTTGGTCAAACATATTCTGTAAGCAAAAGTATTGATCTCTGATATTCTGATTGGGCAAAAGTAGCAGCCCAGACTTTATAATTTTTTAGGACATTGGACTCTGCAGAAAGTCCACTGAAGTAGTTCTTTTCCTTTTATAGCTGAGGAAACTGAGGCTCAGATAGGTGACAGGACTGCCTGCCTGACCCCAGGCTCTCACGTTGTCATTACTTGATATTTCTGTCCTTATGTATCCGTCAGCCCCTGCTGGGGTGTCTCCTCTTCAACCCCCCCTGGACCAGGTGAGAGCCTCCTCACTACTCGAGGTGTGGGCCAGGGGCCAGAGTCATCAGCATCACTAGGAACTTGTGAGCAATGCAGAGGCTTGACTTTATCTCAGACCCGCCGAATCAGAACCTGTGTGTTAGCAAGATCTCAGCTGACGTTTTGTGTGTATTACGGTTTGAGAGGCATGAGGTTAGAAAGAGTGTCTGGGCCTTGACCTGCCGAGCCCATCCTGCCTCCCTGGAAGGACAGACTGAGCTGAAGTGAGAGGAGGTACAACCAGAAACCACATCTCACACCCAGGGTGAGCCTGCAGGTCCCCACCTCTATTCCAGTGGCGGTTCATGTGCCCGCACAGCCCACCCTGGACAAGGCTCCTGGAGAAGCTGGTTGGACAGACCTCTGCTTCTGGGTGTTTGTCTAGACCCGTGGTCGGCAAACTGCGGCTCGTGAGCCACATGCGGCTCTTTGGCCCCTTTAGTGTGGCTCTTCCTAAGCCTTAGGAGTACCCTAATTAAGTTAATAACAATGTACCTACCTATATAGTTTAAGTTTAAAAAATTTGGCTCTCAAAAGAAATTTCAATCGTTGTACTGTTGATATTTGGCTCTGTTGACTAATGAGTTTGCCGACCACTGTCCTAGGTCAATGACAAACATACAAATAATTAATTTTAAAAAATCAATCACAGCACTCTTTCCCACTATGTACAGACAAGGCCTCAGCCTTTGTCAATACAACATTATATACTATTCACTAGATAAAAGCTATTTATCATCTACATAACCCATGCCTAACGATGAGAAATACCTAGATATTAACTTGAGCTATCCACATTCCCTCTCATCACATTCTCATCTTAATATGGTATCTAATCAGGGCTAGTGACTCAGAGGAGGTGGGAACAAGGGTAGGGTGAAGAGAAGCACAGTTTGTGGCTAAGATATCCAGCATAGCTAGCCAGCCACATATAGCAAGCCTAGGACGGAGATCTTGATAGCAACAAAATTCTGTCTTTGTGCTCAACCAATCATATAGCAGAGGAAGGTTCAGAAAGCTACAAAGTGCTTACGTAATTTCTCCAAGATCTCTTCATCAGACATTTTAGGCTTCTTCTTCTGCTTCTCAGTATTCCGGGTCAGAGCATCTGGAGGAGTGGTATTACTCTCCGTAGGTGAAATGGGAGATGTAGCCACATCCCGAGTTGGAGTAACAGGAAGTGGTTCAATCACAGACCGTGTGTAGACCTGCATTGTTGGTATAAGAATTTGACAAGGCCAGCCTCTGTTAGCATAGGGAAGCTCAAGAGCCTCTCTTAAATGTGCCTTAGAACATCCACAGAAAAACAAATCCCAACAAACTCATTCATTCTCCCAGGTCAAAATCTATGACCCTCCTCCTCTGTGCCAGGCCTATCCTCTGTGGTTGGAATGGCCTTCCTTGCTCTCAGTATACACGGCAAGGGTTAGTGAGAGTCTGAACAATGACGATATTCAATACAGGTTAGACAACTCTCAACAGAAATGATTTAAAGGAAATTCTATCATTGGATGGGAATCCCCTTCATCTCAAAATTCTATTCTTCCCCAAGCTGAAATGAATATCTTGTATTTGCACAGCACTTTGCACTAATACAACATTATCTCTTTTGAGCTGCTCCCTCTTTAAATCCTGAACCCTTGCAGAGGAGGAACTACAATTGTTCTTGTTGAAGAAGCAGTAGGATGTAGTCATTTAGACCACAGACTCAAGAATCTGACTGCCTGGGCTTAAATCCCAACTCTTATTTTTACCATTTTTATGACCTTGGGCAGGTTACTTAGCTTCTCTGTGCTTCCGTTTCCTCATTTATAAAATGGTGATACTAATGATACCTATTTTATAGGGTTGTTGTAGGAATAAATGAATTAACATAGTTCTATAACCATCCCCACCACCCACCATGAACTCTTTTCATCTTGCAGAAATAAGATTCTGTACCCATGAGAGTGGCAGCCACCACTCCACTTTCCAGAATTTCCCAACTCTGGGTGCCTCATTCATCCACCAATGGACACCTAAGTTATTTCTACCTTTTGGCTATTGTGAATAAGCCAAGTTAGTTTTAAATGCAAGTGTAAAATTATTAAAATCATACCCAACAGATACTGAGCTTTTAAAATTTTGCTAATTCTATTATATTTCCTATTCATTTACTTAACAAACATTTACTGAGAATCTTTGCCTGGCTGTACAAAATGCTGCCCCATCCTCCTGTGAATTGAATCTTGTGAAAAAGTTATAACTACAAGGCAGAAAGGGATAAATGTCATTTAAAAGTGAGCAAACTATATACTACTGAGGTTTAGATAACTTATACTCCCTTTCCCAGAAGATCATTTTAGGCATTTATCAGATTTTTTTCATAAAAATATCACAACTATCTTTTGGCTAGTCTACAAGCTCTCTGAAGACAGTGAATGTGTCATCCATCCCTGAGTTCCTGTATCGAAGCAGTTCCTCACAAAAAGCATGCATTTAGATGCATGTTTCATGAACCAGTGAATCAATAAGCGGGGTTCTTCAGCTGGATCTTGAAGGACAGACAGGACTTGAATAGGTGCAAATGGGAAAGAACTTAAGTGAAGACATTGAGATCAGAGACTAGAGCTTCTTTCCTGACTTCTAGCATAATGATTTCTTCATTTTCTATCTCTACCTATAGACAAAGGATATCCCTGGCACCTCAGGCCTGCACTTCCACGCCCTGTCATTTTTTATTTTCCAAATAGTGGGGGGGGGGGGCACACACATCAATGATGAGATGCATTGATTGGCTGCCTCCTGCATGCCCCACACTGGGGATCGAGCCTGCAACCAGGGCATATGCCCTGACTGGTTCATGGGTCGATTCTCAACCACTGGGCCACACTGGCTGGGCATGCCTTGTCCTTCTTGTTTGGTTCTCCTGATATGGCTCATTGAGGGTACAAACCCTGCCTTTTCCTTCTCTAATAGTCTCTTTCTCTGGCTCCCAGCACAGACCTGCATACACAAAAAGGCCACTGTGTTATGGTGGAAAGCAGCCTGGATTTAGCATAAATTACCTGCTTTCAATCCTGGCTCTTTTGGTTACTAAGAGACTTTAGGTAGATCAATTTACCTTTCCAAATCTCAGCTTCTTTTTCTATAAATTGGGACTTACCAGTGCCTTTATAGAAACGATTGCTATGAGGACCTACAGAAAGGGTGACTCCACAGATTATAAATCCTTATCCTAAAAGGCCATCTGATCCCCTTGAATTTCCTCCACAGCATCTCCCACAGTCAGCCAACCAACTTCTGCTTAAACACCTCCCTGAATGCTTAACCCAAAGGCAGCCTTTTTTGTATTATCACAGAGTTTAAGCCCTAGATTGTTCTTTCATTACAAAGCTCTTGTCATAAAAAAAAGTCCAAGATGATTAATATCTATATCTATATATCTATATATAGATATATAGATATAGATATATAGATATAGATATATATATACTAGCAGAGTATCGTCTGATAACAGGTCAGTGCTCACTGAAGCTAAATTAAGTAAAAGGCATGAACCCCTGTTGTCAAAGAGAGGGCAGAAGGACTGTGGCTATTCTCAGATGGAAGAACCTCCTAGGAAGTTAAATAAAAATCACTGCCAATATCAGGCATCCGGATATCCAGCATATTAATAGCACTAACGTATTTATCAACTCTCTTGGGTCTTTCAGTATCATCAATGATGTTCTAAGAGGCTGAATGCTGCACATTTAACAGAGAAGAAAAGATCTGCAGCCGGCTAATTTGTTGCTTCCCAGGAGACGGGAATAATTTATGTTAGTCCTGCACTAAGCAACATTAATTCTGCATATCTTCCTGTCTGTGGAGAACAGACTAAGTTAACGAGGGCTGGGTTGGTATATACACCAGTTATTTAGGACACTTTGGGGCTATCTGCAAACCCATGATAAATATATATACAACTTATTGTCTTTAATCATAAAGAAAGTACCTTTCAATCAAATTGGTTCAGTGATCTCACCAACTCCTAAATCTAAGGACCACTACCCGAGTATAAAACCTCTAAGCCCCGAGCATCAGCCCCCCACCCCCTCCAAACTTTAATAACAAAGACTCACAGATTTTGTGTGCTCTGGGCGTGGAGCAATCACTGGAGGTGGGGTAGCATCATCATCATCGTCTTCATCTTCTGAGACTGGTGGCACGGCGGGGGTCTCAGACACAGTCTTCACATTCTGGACAGCGGAGAAAAAGCCAGACTCATCAGGTCCAGCTTTAAGATACCAGGGTCGAAATCTCCCCACCCCTCACCAAAGAAACCTCGTCCTGACACCCCTTCTGAAACCCACAGCAGCCTCCCAGCTCTTCACCGTTGTGCAGCCAGTCAGGAACTCAGTCGGCTTCCCTCTCTTCCAGTTACCACTATCCACTCCGTCCCTTCCTCCCATCCAAAGCCAACTGGGGATTGGGAAGCCAGGTTACACTTCTCCTACCTGCCTTCCCCAATCCAGACCCCGAAGACAAGCATGTAGCTCCTTCTTAGTCTATACATTTTACTCTCCACACTGAACGGGTAATAAAATACGAAATGTAGAGAAGGGATGAGAAGTTGGGAATTCTACAAAGTTTATCATCATATTCCTTACTCCTTTCTGATATGGTTAATGGAAATCCAGGCAGGCGCTTGCCGCTCCTTTTCCTTTCTTTACCAAAACCTATCGCACACCCATTATGTCCACAGGTGCCCTCGCCTCAGCCTGCAGATACAGAACCTCAGGAGCCCCTTGTCTCAAGAGAACAGAGTTTTCTCCCCAAGACTGGCTACTATCCATCTCACTGGTCCTGGAATGAACCTTACCAGCATGACTGCTTGGATCTGCTATAATCTCAGCAACATGATTTTCACATGCAAACTGTAACAAAGCTGGGCCAAGAACAGCATGTTTGGGGGCAGGTCCAGGCAAAAATATCATACCATTGCTGTTTATACCACAGATATGAGACAAAATAGCTCCAAAACCTGAGGTGTTTGATGGAGATTAGATGATCACAGCATAGGACCAAAGAGGCAATAGAGATATTTTAATACATATAGACATAATTCAACAGTGTCCGATATTTTCAGGGCACCGACTCTGTGCTAAGATACTGTGATGGATACTGTTGACATAAAGATACAAAGATGAAAAGGGTGATCTATGTCCTGAAGCAGCTCATCATCGAATACAGGAGACAGAGGGTGAGTTTCCCTTTTGCTTGCCATTTGGGGCCTCTAGAGAGAGGACAGTAGGGGGTCAGAATGACAGGGGACAGGTGGAAAAACTTACCTAGAGGAATAGTAGACTAGAGGTACTGTTACTGTGTGGCAGGCTGGCCTTTACCACACGTGACATACTAAGGTAAGAAAAACTAGTTATCTCATATTTTCAACAGGACCTCTGGTACTGGGCATGACTTAAAAGCTTTCAGTGCTGGGCACATGTAAGCAACCAGCTTTGATCACCATAAGCAATGAATTTATCCTTTCAGTCTCAAGTTTTATCACTTGAGGAATGTGGTGAAAAGTAGTAGTATAATTATAATAAGTCACTTTCAGTCCTACAATCCAATAGAAGTTCTTTCCCTGTCAAAGTGTATGTGTGTGTATATATATTTCTTAGAGAGATTAGAAGAAAGGGAGGAAGGGGGAGAAAGAGAGAAAAAGAGAGAAACATCAATTGGCTGCCTCCCGCTTGAGCCTCAACACAGGGCCGGTAATTGGATCAGACCTGCAACCCAGATATGCACCTTTGAGCGGGAATCAAACCTGAGACCCTTCAGTCCACAGGCTGACTCTCTAACCACTAAGCAACACCACCAGGGCTCAAAACATATATTTTGATATTTTTCTATTCTAATTTCTTTTTTAAAAATATATTTTATTGATATTGTACAGAGAGGAAGGGAGAGGGACAGAGAGGTAGAAACATAGATGAGACATGAATCAGCTGCCTCCTGCACACCCCCTACTGGGGATGAGCCCGAAACCCAGGTACATGCCCTTGACCAGAATCAAACCTGGGACCCTTTAGTCCGCAGGCTGATGCTCTATCCACTGAGCCAAACCGGTTAGGGCTATTCTAGTTTCTTTTCTCCCCACTATTCCTCTCAACAAACTTTAACCAGAAATCCAAAATGGGAATTAAGTTGGCTGCCTCTTCACATCAGGTTGTTGCCTTGGGGCACCCTGATGTACACTATAAACACTAGGTTTGTTTGCTCTAAAACTCTGTAGAGAAGGAGATTTCATCATCTTCCTTAGCAACACATTCTGTTTTCCCAGGTGAAAGCTTTGGGTGGTAGTATTAACAACTATCAGAATCAGAGCTATAGGTTTTTGTCCCAAATTTTTATTTCTTATCCCTGTGTCCCTGGGCAAGGCTGTCCTACTCTAAGCCACACGTTTCTCATCTCTAAAATGGGGATAATGACAGCAGCTCTCTGCCTACCTAGTTGGATGTGCATTTTAGTCTAAACTAACAACATCTTGGAGGATAAAAAAGAATTCTTAGAAAGTAAAATTCTTAGAGGGGCCCTAGGAGAATAAAATGAAGTAAGGTGGGTATAAGAACTCTTTGTAAACAGTAAGGAGCTAGGAAGATATAAGGAATCAATTAAATTATCATTCTGGCCAATGACCACAAACCTCTGTTTTTTAAAAAGCCAGTGAAGAACACAATAAAGTCCCTGGTCTGTGCCTTACATTTTAGAAGAGGAAACAGTCAAAATTAACCATTTCAAGTAGTAGTAACAAAATAATCTATGAGAGTTTAAACTCCACTCTAGATGTTTTGGTTCTATGTGGTTAATCTTTCCCTATAATCTATATATATAAAAGCCTAATATGCTATGTGTCCGACCGTTTGACCAGTCACTATGATGTGCACTGACCACCAGGGGGCAGACGCTCCGATCAGTAGGTTAGCTTGCTGCTGGGGTCCAGCTGATCGGGACTGGGTGAGATGGGCTGGACATGCCCTGGAGCCAACCTCCTGTGGGCTCTCCCCAGTCTCTAAAATATTTCTTCTTATTAATTTCCTTTCAATGTGCACAAATCCATGTACTAGGCCTCTAGTTAAATAAATAAAAGGCCTCATACAACATATAGTCTTTTGTATTTAGCTTCTTTTAGTTAGCATAAAGTTTACAAGGTTCATCCAAATTGTGGCATTATCAGTACTACATTCCTTTTTGTCTAAATAATAGTCCATTGTATTAATATAATACTTTTTAAAAAATCCATTCATCAATTGATGGGCATTTGGGTTGTTTCCCTTTGGGGCTATTATGAATAATGCTCATATGAACATCCACGCACCCATTTTTGTGTGAATGTATGTTTTTATTTCTATTGGATATATACTGAGGAGTGGAACTTCGAGGTCAGATGGTAACTCTATGCTTATCCTTTTGAGGAACTGCCAGACTTTTCCACAGAGGCTGCCCCATTGTACACTCCCACCAGCAATTATGAGGGTTCCAATTTCTTCCTTTGAAATTCTAATGCCTCCGTTCTCTGAATCTTCTTGAATCTCCTTGCCTAAACCCCCTGTGTCCTTTATTCTCGATTTTCCATCTTTTTTATAGTTTATATCATTAATTCGCTCTTAGATGTATTTGGCTTTTAATCCCTGTGAATTTATTTAATAATATTTTTTAATTTCTAAGAATTCTTTTTTATCCTCTAAGATGTTGTTAGTTTAGACTAAAATACACATCAAACTATACCAATCTCCTATTTAAAATATTCTTTAGCTCCAGCCCTAAGTCCAAGTTCTTTGGTCTAAATGATGGATCCTCAACTTGGCTTTTGCTCATGCCACCTCCGATAAGAAAGCACTGTCCTTCCAGGTAGCTCAGTCGGTAAGAGTGCTGTCTCGATATGCCACTGTTGCCAGTTAGATCCATGGTCAGGGCACATATAAGAAGCAACCAATGAATGCACAAATAAGTAGAACAACAAATCGATGTCTCTCTCACAATAAGTAAATAAAAAGTTTTTTTAAAAGCATTGCTCTTTTCTCTGCCTGGTATCATTACCTGTGTTTACCTGACACTATATTATAAATCCTTGTTTATGTGTCCTGTTTCCTCACGAATTTGTGAGATCAAGAGCAAAAACCTTACCAGTCTTTGACTCCCCAATCTATCACACAGTAGGTGTTCATTTCATAAATGAGAATTCAGCAATTACAAGGCATACCATCTGAGATCTCAGACCAATGCCACAAATAAAATTTTAGAGCCAGAAGCCCTTAATAATCATGTCTATTAAATGAACAAATCATTCAGTCCCAAGAACTCTGTTCACACTTCTCTGTACTACTAGGCAGAATAAATCAATCCATTAAATATGACCCCCAATGTACATTATTTATACCTCTCTTGCAGCCTTTCTCCCTCTAGTCTGCTGTTAATTTTTCCCTCAAGGACTGAGATAGTGCATATTCATTTTTGTATCACGAACACCTTGGCACAAAGGAGGTGCTAAGTAAATATTTATTTTATGAAGGAATAAATGAATAATCAGGGGAACTGAATTTTGCATTGGTTTCCACTATTAGCTCATTCAAGGGTAGGGAGCAAGTCATTTAATTTCTCTGAGTCTCAATTTCTTAACTTCTGTTATGGGGATAACAATCCTGTCCAATTATTTCACAAATCAAATGAAATCACCTGTATGAAACCAATATGGGAAATAATGACATGCTACCACAATAGAAACCATATCCCTCAGGTAAAACTAGCAAGGATATCGTGTACTGAGCCACAGGGACAAATGTTCTGAATCGGGAGAGAAAATGTCCTTGACGGCCTGAGTGCCTTTAATTGTAGCTACTAAACCAGTACAGGTTTTTAGCAAGCAGGTGTTTCCTCTCTGCCATATGGCCTGAGCCCCAGGGCCCCTCCTCCTCCTCACTAATGAACAACCCGGCAATGGCCTTACTGAAGTCTCCTTTATAAGACCTCTCTGCCATCTTCTTTCTCAGTTCCCTGCCTCGGTGAGAAAAGAACCCTGGAATAGCACTCAGAAGACCCTCGTTCTAATCTGGTTCTGCCATAATAGCTAATTATGAGTCTCCAGGAAACTGTTTTTCTACCTGTGAAACGGGAATAAAAATACTTTTTTCACAAGGTAATTGTGAGGTCTAATTATTAGCACAGTGCCTGGCACATATCAGCCACTCAATATATGAGAGCTGCCACTCCTCCCATAAAAACATAAAGATATATGAACCACAAAGCACCGCTCAGCTTTCTCCAATAATTCACTATTCAACAGTGGTAAGAACCTCCCAAAGATCTTAACATTTGCAAATGCTTCCCCATCTTTTAATTATATATCTTCCATTTGATGAAAGAGTGAATAGGGGAAAGCAACGCAGACTGGGAATCTGATACCTATTGCCATCAACCCTTCTCAAGTTCAGTTTTATCAACTATAAAGCAAAAATAATAACTGACCTCATCAACGCCCGTGAGGATTAAAAGAAATAGTAAATGAGAAAGGACTGAGTGTGCTATTAGGCATTGGACAGGTGAACATTTTTTATAAATGATGACAGTATAAATGACTCAGGGTAAACCAATCCACACTCCTGGAAACATGGTTCAAACTATTTTAACGATGACTCGACACTGTGTTAGAACTTACTACTCTCCTGCTTAAGTCACTGTGATACATTGCTACCTAGAGGAAGAAGCAATGCCCTTAGAAGCTTACTTCCTGCCTTGTTGGGGAAGGCTTCACGCAAAAGGCAGAATCTGAGTTTGACTTTAGAAGAAGAGATGGAGAATTGACATTCAAGTAGAAGGTAGCAGAAAATAAAATACAAGACATTCTAAAGCAGGGGTCCTCAAACTACGGCCCGCGGGCCACATGCAAATACAAATATTGTATTTGTTCCCGTTTTGTTTTTTTACTTCAAAATAAGGTATGTGCAGTGTGCACAGGAATTTGTTCATAGTTTTTTTTAAAACTATAGTCCGGCCCTCCAACGGTCTGAGGGACAGTGAACTGGCCCCCTGTTTAAAAAGTTTGAGGACCCCTGCGACAACTAACTCATTTAGCTCAGACTCTCATCAAGAAACTTTCCTTATACATCCGGTTTCATTCAGTAAGTGGTTACCTGCCAGATGCCAAGCATACAGCAATAAGCAAATCAGACCTAACCCCTGGCCCCCATAACCTTCCAGCACACAGCACTGTAACTGTTTACTGTCGTCTTCATGTCCCTCACAAGGCTAGGAGATTATCGGACATTGGGACAATGTCGGATTCATGCCCATATTGCCACTTCTCCACAAGACCTGGCACAGAGTAGGGGTTTTTGCAAGTGTTTAGCAGATCAATATGACATAACCACCTCTGTACACAGACAGCATCAGGTTGTAAAGAACAGCAGTTATCATATATATGATAACAGCTTACTATTTAGAGACCCTTTCAAACATATCAACATATTTTACTTGCTCTGGAAAATAGAACTTGTAAGCTGGAAGAGGCAGAGGGATCTTTGAAGTTATTGAGTTTTACTCTCCAGCCCTTCCTAAGACAGGGCATTCACTACAACTTCAGGGGACACCTTAAATCAGCGGTTCTCAACCTGTGGGTCACGACCCCTTTGGCGGTCGAACGACCCTTTCACAGGGGTCGCCTAAGACCATCCTGCTTATCAGATATTTACATTACGATTCATAACAGTAGCAACATTACAGTTATGAAGTAGCAACGAAAATAATGTTATGGTTGGGTCACAACATGAGGAACTGTATTTACAGGGCCAGAAGGTTGAGAACCACTGCCTTAAGTGGACAGAATATGCTGCCCTCAACAATCAGGCCTAATCCTGGTTTTGTATACCCAAACCAAAGAGAGGGACTTCTCTTCTAAATTCAGGTTTTCGAAGACATGTCCAGGTAAGGCAAAGTATGTCATCCTCTTTTTATTGATTAAAAAACTCAAGCTCAGAAACTGGCTTTTAAAGGCAAATGAAAAACTGAGCCTAAAAGCCAGTTCTTCTGGTTCCAAGGTTAGGATTTCTAGAACATTAAAAAAAATTTTTTTAAGCTGGAAGGGGTATCTACTGATTGAGTCCAATTCCTTTGCAGTTCCCTGTACAGACAGGGACTCTGGGGCCCAGAGTGTGGGAGTGACCAAGATGAGGGAAACATGGTTCAAACTATGCATCTGCCACACTGTCTTCAATCCCTAACCACCACACCTGCCCATATCAGAATAGAGGAAATGAAGACTTACCAAAGTGTTAGAAGAATTATAATCCTCAGCTAATTTATCTGCAAAGGAAAAAAGACCAGGGACTCAGTCAGTAAACGATTACAGTGCATCTGTTCTTGAGAGCTAAGGAAGCCTAGCCAGTCAAGCCCTTGCCAGGCTCAGAGAATGACAACAGTATTCCTGGTACTATGGGCCCAATACCATGCTAGGCACATTATACACATTACCTCCCTTATCCTCAATAGATTTCTGAGTGCTCTTATTATGTTTCCTTTTATAGATTTGGAAACTGAGGTTCAGAGATGTTAAGTAATCTGCCCAGGGTACACACAGTTATGAAATAGGAGTCAAGATCTGAATTATGGTCAAACTCTAAATACTAGGATAGAACTGTATCCACATCAGCAACTCTATCGTCATCAGGCCTGAATCTAAAAGAAAGAGGATTCATGGCCGGGTTGTCCTGAGCACCCATGACAAATTATGACCAGCCTGCAGCTTGGGCTTCTAGAAAGGATCCTCCACATTCATGTCTATTCCCCACAGGGAGAGAAAGACGAAGGCTCAGGAAATGAGAGGCATTAATCATGTCAAGTCTAATTAAAGGCAGAATCTTGTTTCTAATAATAGATTCAAGCTTCCACAGTAAGGTAATTACCATATTTCACTGATTCTGAGATGTACGTTTTTTCACATTAACATTTCTAAAACAGAGATGTGTCCTATAAAGACTTTTTTTTTTAATTCCTCACCCAAGGATATATTTTTAGATTTTTAGAGAGAGAGGAAATGAGAGAGAGAGAGAGAGAGAGAGAGAGAGAAAGAGAAATACCTATGTGAGAAACATCGATCAGTGGCTTCCTGTACGCACCTTGACTGGGGATCAAACCCACAACCTTTTGGTGTGCAGGATGATGTTCCAACCAAATGAGCCACCCAGCCAGGGCGTATTTCATATTTTAATTGGCAACCTTTTTTCTTTAGTGGTATATAAAATAATGATGCCTCTTAAAATCAGTGATACCTTAGATTTAATGAAATATGAAACATACACTCAATGGAGATTTTAGCAAGAAAATAAGTTTAAAGACCAAGTACTGCATTTGGCTTTATTCTTTAATTCCTAAAGACCCAAGAAGAAAGTGACTTTGCTGGTTCAAGTGACTTTTCTGGAATTAAAGAGGAAAAATATTCTACCAAATCCAATACATTCCTCACCAAGAACAAAGCCCAGAGAATGTCCAAGACCCCAATTTCCATTATATAAGAAAGTGCCAGGTAGTACTTCTTCTGTCCTATGACAAATAATGGACCCAAAAGCTATGACAAAATGTTCTTAAAACAAACCCTGAATAGCCAGCTGTACTCTGGTGAAATCAATTCAGGATGTACTTTAAACATAACACATTGGTTCTTCTTGTCCAAAAGAACATCAGCTTAGGGCAAAACAAAGCACAATACTATGTCCTCACTGCACAACCCCAACCTGATGCTAGTGTTTTTGAGGACTGGGTATTCTGATAATAAACATATCTGGTCCATATAAGAAACAAGTAAGCATTGCTCCTTTTAACTGAGATGTACCATGTCTACATATCAAAATCAAATTCCACAGCACAGAACGACAGAGCAGAGAGGACTTCCAATCCCTTCATTTTACCAATGAGGAATCTAAGGTTCAGAGAAAAGAAACAGGTTCAAGATTACATAAATCACCCTGGCCGGTTTGGCTTAGTGGATAGAATGTTGGCCTATGGACTGAAGGGTCTCGGGTTCGATTCTGGTCAAGGGCCCAGATTGCAGGTTCAATTACCAGTGGGGGGCATGCAGGAGGCAGCCATTCAATGATTCTCTCTCATCATTGATGTTTCTATCTCTCCCTTCCTCTCCCTTCCTCTCCCTTCCTCTCCCTTCCTCTCTGAAATCAATAAAAAATATATTTTTTAAAAAGATTACATAAATCACTGGCAACGTGGAGCTAAATTCCCTATACTACTTTTTGTTAATCAGCACAGAAAATAAAATGCTGAAAAAAATAGAAAAGTTGACAAAAATTGGCTTGGAAGATTATGCTTGGGTTATAAACCGCAATGGATTGAAAGACCCGAATTTAAAACACACTTCCATCAAATATCAGTTGAATCACCCAAAGCAATTCACTTAGTTTCTCTAAGCCTAATTAATTTCTCTGAGTCTGTAAACTGGGGATAATAATCCTTGCCCTACCAATCCTACAAGGCCATGATGAGAATCAAATGCGATCACTCATATACAAGCATATATAGATTGAGATAGTGTTAGCATAATAGTATGAGAAGAGGGGAAACAGAAAAAGGAGAAAGATGACTTTAATAAACCATGTCAAACATAAAAGATTGCCTGGAGTTGGTCCTGGTCTTCAACTTCTAGAAAGTTAAAAATCCTGCATGCACATGCATGTGTACACACACATATACCAGTACTCAATGTTACTCACATATGCATACATAGATGAGTATACACACAATTACCTGGATTGTATAAGCATTCATTCATGAATACTTAAGTGGGCTTTAATTCCAAATATATACAAACCCACAGAGCTACGCTTCCATATACATATATGGCACTTGTCTACATCTACACACATGTAAACATAAAGCAGAAAGTCTTCCAAAGACTTTGAAGCTGAGGCTTTCAAAGCCAGCTCTAATCTCATATCTCCACGACAAAATCCCTAAAACACAAGCTCTAATCTCCTGCCTAGAAAACTCGCCCCGCACCACCCCTCAACCCCAATTCCTCCTTGGAATGCCCCAGTCCTCCAATGTGAAAAGTAAGACAGACCCAGCGGGGCCAGACGTGAAGAAGGAAATACTGCTGGGAACATGCATGACCCTCTCCTGGGCACCACCATGGCAGCATGAGCGAAGCTGCAGTCTGTCATCCTCGCCATCTGTGCCCTTTGATACAAGCCAGATACTTGCTGGGAAAGCATCCTTCAAAATTGGCTAGTTCATCCTGGTTCTCACCTTCCCCAGTAATACTGCCCTTCTAAAAAGACAGCATGGACTCTGGAAAGAGCACTGAACTCGGAGGTAAGAGACCAGCTCTGCCACTAAATCAGACACATCAGAAAAGCCTTTTTTGGCTTTGTCTGCAAAACATGGGGAACTGGAAGTGATATACATACTAGGGCTATTTCTTGCTCTAACATTCTAAGATGCTTTACAAAAGGTAAGTCTCCAGAAATGTAGGCCTTCTCATGACTTGTCTAGGAAAAGAAAATTTCTCTACTATAAAAAGAGGTTCTCCAAATGAAGTTACTAGAGGCAAGTAGTAAACTTAAAGGGTGCTGGTAGAGGATTAGAGGACCTGGCTTCTAATCTCAATTCTGCTATAAAAGACAACCCTGAAAAACATAGTCCCTTATATAGACAGTACATCTAAAGCACATTTATTATTACAGACCTGTTTTTCACTTGACTAATAAAAATCAGTGCCTTGATGAAGAAATTGGGCTTGCCTACTTAAAAGATATACATTAAATGTGTTATTAAATTAACAACAATATTAAAGATACTGATGATAATGACAGCTACATTTCCATGGTGTCATTTATAACCTATGAAGGACTTTCGCATCAATGAGCTCATTTTTTCCTCACTACAACCTCCAGAGATAGGAATTATTACTCCCATTTTGAGGCTCAAAGAAATGAAGTGACAGTTAAAGGCTAGTGAGTGTCAGAAGTTAGATCATCTAGCACAAAGTGTATGTCTTTACATGTCACATCTTTTAAATGTGCAGTTTCAGAGTAAAGATTCAAGTTTAATGCAAAACCCATTGCCTTGGCTAACCCTGTCTTAGTGAAAGTACCATCTCCACTCTTTCCAATACTTTCCTCTCTCACCCCAGGCCAACAGGCAGGGGGCTCTTTTCCACCCACAAGAAAACCCTTTTTCCCAGGCTGCCCTGTTCACAATCTTGTACCTGTAAAGCTCATGTACTTCTGGCTGTTGGAGGTCTTCTTGGAGTTATAGAATTCTAACACATCCAGCACAGCCTGCGGGTTTTTCTTCTGCTCCGACTTAGTGATATTTGATGTCTGAAGCAAGCGGGCCCACTGTTCTGGCATCCCCTGTAAGAGAGACACGCAAAGCTGTCAGGAGGATAGTCACAGGGGGCCCTGAAGGAAAATCAGCGTTCCTCTGATACCTGCTAGCAGCCAAGGGCAATTTAGTCATTCCTCCCTGTGCCCTCAGAGTGCGGCACAAGCCTCTTTTATAAGACTTATCTCATTGTATTAGTCACTTCTTGAGATTTTGCTCCTTCACCAGGCTAATCCTCCTTTGGAATAGGAACCATGTCTGATTTGTCTCCGCACCATCAGTGCCCGGAACAGAGCCTGCCGCCAAAAGGCCACCTCACAGAGCTCTATTTAAGAAATGAAGATTCAAAGGATTCTTCGGTGCAATTTTGGAGACTCGTCAAGTGTCCCTCTCGTGAATAAAAGAAGATAGCAATGAGGGTCTCGAGCAGACAGAAGCATCAGGAAGACTAGAAAGGATTGCCTCTCACGGTGCACAGCCAGAACTCTGAAGGCCTTTCTGTGGCTTGGGACTTACTGTAAACTCCCCTGTGACAGCATCAAACCCAACGTGAATCGTGTGCTCAAAATCTGAAGGAAGAGAAATCTCTGGCCGCTCCTTCTCCTTCTTTTTATTTGCTGCAAAAGAAAGAGAAAAGGAAATTTTAAAAACAGAAACATTATTACATTTTTAGGCTTATTTAGCTCTTTGTTGATCTGTAGGCTCCTTTAGAGGCCAAGAATTATCTATTTCATATCTGTATTTACAGAGCCCAATGCTGGGCTTAAATTGGAATAGATGCTCAATGCACGAGTGAAGACTTACTTTTTTGTCAAACTAAAGTAAGGGAGGCACAGAAAGAACACTCATCGGAGTTAATAGTCCTGTTTCTACTACTAATGAGCCATCTGATCCAGGGAAAGTCACTTCCTTCTTCTGAATCCTATTTTCCCACCCATCTGTAAAGAGAGAAGGCTCAAGTAGGTTGTCTCTAAGGACACTTCCAGCCCTGACATCCTCTATTCAATGAGCTTCTATAGCCTGCGGCCTACTTACTAGGTCTTTGATTATGGACTTCTTTAAGGTTCAATTACAGAATTTTATATTTGGAAGTAGATTTAATAATGCGAGTCATTAATATTTTATCAGGTGCTTACCAGGCAATGGCTCAAATTCTTTTATATGTATTAATTAACTTTAGCCTCACAGCAACTCTATCACTCAGGTACTATCATCCTTATTTTACAGATAAATAAGATTAAGTTATTTGCCCAAAATCACATGATTAGTAATTGGCAGTCCCAAGACCCAAGCCCAGGCAGTCTGGCTCAGAGCCTGATCTCTATACCACTATGCTATGCTGCCTCCCTAGGTTAAGACCTTAAAGGCTCATTAAGTCCAAATACTTGTAGGGTCTGGCATAGAGTAGATGTTCACTACAGTCCTGCTGACCTCGCAGAAAAGTTATAGTGCTGAAGGACCCTTGTTAGGGGTTGAATCGTGTCTCCCCAAAGATAAGTCCTAACTCTTAGTGCCTCAGAATGTGACCTTATTTGGAAATAAGGTCACTGAAGATGTAATTAGTTTTGTATTTGTATCATGCTCTAGTGATTACAAGGCACTTTCACATATATTAGTTCTCTAGAGTCTCAAAACAACAGTGTGACAAGCAGGGCAGTGATTATGGTGCCCATTTGACAGAAGAAACAAACGTTTCAAGAAATTAAGTAACCAGCCCAACGTCACAGAGCAATTCAGAAGCAAATGTGGGACCAGAACTAAGGTTTTCAGACTTCCAGCTCTATAGCCTTTCTATTCTGTCACTCTGCCTCTCAGGGATTGCTGCTGGTTATGATTCTGCTCTCTCTCAATGCATTTATCTTCTACACAGTGGTCAAATTTATCCACTCTTCTCTCTCTTCATTGCCACCACCCTATTTCAGGCAGTTATCTGTGGCCTGAATCATTCTAAGAGTTGCCTATCATCTGCATTCTGGTCCTCTCCAATGAAAACAACAGTTAGAGTAATCTATAGACTTGCTATTCAAAGCAGCATCAGTCAGCATCAACATGTAGAATCTCCAACTCCACCATAAGACTGTTGAATCAGAATCTAAATTTTAATATCTCAAACTCCACCATAGACTATTGAGTCAGAATCTAAATTTTAATAAGATCCCTAATGATTCGTGTGTATATAAAAGTTTGAGAATCAACCCACAGGCAACATCATACTCAATGAGCAAAAACTAAGTGTTTCCCTTAACATCAGGAACAAGACAGGGATGTCCACTTTCACCACTCTTTTTTTATTTTTATTATTCTTTTTTAAAAAATATTATAATGACAATCCCCTGCCCTCCCTTACCCCCCAGTGTCTTATGTCCATTAGTTATGCTTATATGCATGCATACAAGTCCTTCGGTTGATCTCTTACTCCCCTCCCTTCTGCCCCCCAACCCTCTCTGGCCTTCCCACTGCAGTTTGACAATCAGTTTGAGGCAGCTCTGCCTCTGTATCTATTATTGTTCAAAAGTTTGTAATGGTCTTTATTATCCATGAATGAGTGAGATCATGTGGTATTTTTCCTTCATTGACTGGCTTATTTCACTTAACACCACTCTTATTCAACATAGTACTGGAAGTTTTAGCCATAGCAATTAGACAAGAAGAAGAAATAAAAGGCATCCAAATTTAAAAAGAAGAAGTAAAACTGTCATTATTTGCAGATAACATCATACTGTATATAAGGAACCCTAAAGATCCCACACAAAAAACTAGTAGAACTGATAAATTCAGTAAAGTAGGCTGAAAAATAAATATCCGGAAATCCGTTTCACCTCTACACCAATAATGAACTATCAGAAAGGGAAGCTAAGAAAACAATCCCATTTACAATTGCATCCCCCACCCCCCACCCCCCCAAAAATACCTTGGAATAAACATAACCAAGGATGTAAAAGACATGCACTCAGAGAATTATAAAACACTGAAGAAAAAAACTGAAGAAGATACATATAAGTGCAAGCACATACAGTGTTCATGGATAGGAAGAATTATCAACATTAAAATGTCTATACTATCCCAAGCAATCTATAATACCATGCAATTCCTAGCACGATACCAATGGTGTATTTCAAAGAACTAGAACAAATATTCCAAAAATTTATATGGAACCACAAAAGACCCCAAACAGTCACAGCAATCTTGAGAAAGAAGAACAACGTTGAAGGAATCACGCTACCCGATATCAAATTATACTATAAGGCCATAGTAATAAAAACAGCATGGTACTGGCACAAAAACAGACTTATAGACCAATGGAACAGAATAGTAAGCACAGAAATAAACCCACGCCTTTAGAGTCAATTAATATTTGACAAAGGAGGCAAGAACATACAGTGGGGTAAAGACAGTCTATTCAATAAATGATATTGGGAGAATTGAACAGATAGATGAAAAAAATTAAACTAGACCACCTTCTCACACCACACACACATAAACTCAAAATGGATTAAAGACTTAAATGTAAGCCCTGGCCGGCTTGGCTCAGTGGATAGAGTGTCAGCCTGCGGACTGAAGGGTCCCAGGTTTGATTCCGGCCAAGGGCACATGCCTGGGTTGCGGGCTCAATCCCCAGTAGGGGTGTGCAGGAAGCAGCCGATCAATGATTCTCTCTCTCCCTCTCCCTTCCTCTCTGAAATCAATAAAGAAATATATATATATATATATATTAAAAAGAGTTAAATGTAAGTCACAAAACCATGAAAATCCTAGAAGAAAACACAGGTGGTAAAATCTCAGACATTTTCTTAGCAATATTTTTTCTGATATATCTCCTTGGGCAAGAGAAACAAAGAAAAATAAACAAAGGGAAATACATCAAACTAAAAAGCTTTTGCACAGCAAAGGAAACCATCAGCAAAATGAAAAGACAACCCATTAAATGCCAGAACATGTTCACCAATGACACATCTAATAAGGGGTTAATACACAAAATTTATAAAGAACTTTTATAACAACACACAAAAAACAACAACAATCCAATTAAAAATTGGGCAAAGGACTTGAATGGGCACTTCACCAAAGAGGACATACAGATGGTCAGGAGACATATGAAAAGATGCTCAACATCACTAACCATCAGAGAGACGCAAATTAAAACCACAATGAGATATCACCTCACACCTGTCAGAATGTCTATCATCAATAAATCAACAAACAACAAGCATTGGTGAGGAAGTGAAGAAAGGGGACCCCTCATGCACTGTTGGTGGGTCTGCAGATTGGTGCAGCCATTATGGCAAACAGAATGGAGGTTCCTCAAAAAATTAAAAAATGGAACTGCCTTATAACCCAGCAATCCCACTTCTGGGAATATATCCAAAGAAACCTGAAACACTAATTCAAAAGAATATATACACCCTTATATTCACTGCAGCGTTATTTTCAATAGCTAAGATTTGGAAGCAGCCCAAGTGCCCATCAGTAGATGAGTGGATAAAAAAATCTGTGGTACATTTACACAATGAAATACTACTCGGCTATAAAAGAGAAGGAAATCTTACCTTTTGTGACAGTATGAATGGACCTGGCAAGTATTATACTAAGTGAAATAAGCCAATCAAGAAAGACAAATATCATATGATTTCTCTTATATGTGGAATCTAATGAATAAAACAAACAAATAAAATAGAAACAGACTCATAGATACAGAGAACAGACTGACAGCTGTCAGAAGGGAGGGGACTTGGGGGGCTGGGGCAAAAAGGTGAAGGGATTAAGCTGGAGGGAGGGGGAAACACATTACAGACACAGATAACAGTATGGTTATTACTAGAGGGAAAGTGAACACACAATATAATAGACAGATGATGTGTTATAGAATTGTATACTTGAAACCTATATAATTTCATTAACCAATATCATCCCAATAAAATCAATAAAAATTAAAACAGATAAAATAAGCCCAGCCGGTGTGGCTCCGTGGTTGAGCATTGACCCATAAACCAGGAGATCATGGTTTGATTCCCTGTCAGGGCACATGCCCATGTTGTGTGGCTTGATAACCAGTAGAGGGCATGCAGGAAGCAGTCGATCAATGATTCTCTCGCATCATTGATGTTTCTATCCCTCTCTCCTCCCTTCCTCTATCTGAAATTAATAAAAACGTATTTAAAACTGATGAACAAAATAGATTTAGAGACACAGCAGCCTGGAACAGACTGTGGAATCTCAGAGGGAAGGTGGGGGTGAGTGGGTTAGTGGGAAGAGATCAACCAAAGATCAATTTGTGTGCATATATGCATAACCCATGGACACAGACAGTAGGATGATGAAGGCCTGAAGTAGGGGTTGGGGGCGGGCTAGGAGGGGTCCATGGGAGTAAAAAGGGGGCATATGTAATACTTTCAACAATAAAGATTTAATTTTTAAAAAACATATTTAAAAATAAAAGTTTAAGAATCAAGGGAATGAGAAAACAAACCACAGACAGGGAGAAAATATTTGCAAAAGATATATTTAATAAAGAACCATTATCCAAAATACACAAAGAATTCTTAAAACTCAACAATAAGAAAACAACTCGATTAAGAAAATGAGCAAAAGACATGGGTACACACATTGCCAAAGAAGATATACAAATGGAAAAGATGCTCAACATCATATATCATTAGGGAACTGCAAACTAAAACAACAATGAAGTAGCACTCCACTCCTGTTAGAATGGCCAAAATCAAAAAGTGACACCATATGCTGATGAGGATGTGGAGCATCAAAAACTTTCATTCGTTGCTGGTGGGAATGCAAAATAGTACAATCATTTTGGAAGACAGGTTGCAGTTTCTTACAAAATTAAACATATTCTTTCCATACAATCAAGCAATCACACTTGTTGGTATTTAGCCACATGAGCTGAAAACTTGCACATAGATGTCTATATCAGCTTTATTTATAATTACCCAAACTTGGAACCAACCAAGATGTCCTTCCGTGGGTGAATGGATAAGTAAGCTATGGCACCTCCAGAAAGTGGAATACTGTTCAGCACTAAAAATAAATGATCATCTGGCTGGTGTGGCTCAGTGGTTGAGTGTCGACCTATGAACCAGGAGGTCACGGTGCCATCACTGGTCAGGACACGTGCCCGGGTTGTGGGCTCGATCCCCAGTGTGGGGCATGCAAGAGGCAGCTGATCAGTGGTGGAACCATTATCCAAAATACACAAAGAATTCTTAAAACTCAACAATAAGAAAACAACTCGATTAAGAAAATGAGCAAAAGACATGGGTACACACATTGCCAAAGAAGATATACAAATGGAAAAGATGCTCAACATCATATATCATTAGGGAACTGCAAACTAAAACAACAATGAAGTAGCACTCCACTCCTGTTAGAATGGCCAAAATCAAAAAGTGACACCATATGCTGATGAGGATGTGGAGCATCAAAAACTTTCATTCGTTGCTGGTGGGAATGCAAAATAGAACAGTCATTTTGGAAGACAGGTTGCAGTTTCTTACAAAATTAAACATATTCTTTCCATACAATCAAGCAATCACACTTGTTGGTATTTAGCCACATGAGCTGAAAACTTATGTTCACACAAAAACTTGCACATAGATGTCTATATCAGCTTTATTTATAATTACCCAAACTTGGAACCAACCAAGATGTCCTTCCGTGGATGAATGGATAAGTAAGCTGTAGCACCTCCAGAAAGTAGAATACTATTCAGCACTAAAAATAAATGATCATCTGGCTGGCGTGGCTCAGTGGTTGAGTGTCGACCTATGAACCAGGAGGTCACGGTGCCATCACTGGTCAGGACACGTGCCCGGGTTGTGGGCTCGATCCCCAGTGTGGGGCCCTGGCCCCATTCTGGGCGAGTGTGGGAGGCAACTAATTGATATTTTTTTCCCCCCCCCCCCCTTCCTCTCTGAAGTAAAAAAAAAAAAAATATTTTTAAAAATAAAAAAGAAATGATCTATCAAGCCATAAAAAGAGGAACCATACATGCACATTACTAGGTAAAAGAAATCAATCTGAAAAGACCACAGGTTTTAGCTATTTACCCACTTGACAATGTATCTTCCAGAAGCAGCTGCTTTGAGAGGGAAGGCTAAGGACTTATCAAGGCCGAAATTAAGCTGTCATTTATGACATAAATCCATCTGTCTTGCTTACAGGAATGCATGGGACACGTTGCAGGGCTTTGGAATTGCTTTCTGTGCCTAAATTTCTTTTGATCTAGTTACTTAAAAGTGTCTTAAGAATAACTGTTATTTTTATATTTTATTTATATTTATATATCACTATATTTTTACATATTATTTATATTATGTTAATATATCATCATAGGCTTGGAATGGCAAGTGCAAAATGAATTTTGGTAAAGAAGTCACAAACAGAATGGCTCATCGGATGAGCAGTCTACAAGAACAGAGCCCCAGGGAAATGAAGTCCTTTAACACATAAACACACAGGGTACTGCTGAAGGTGGCTTTGCTTCATATGCAGTACCTCCCATAGTACCTTCATATACAGCACCTCTTCCTCTCATTATCCCTTTAAACATTCAGCCATCTTTTAAAGACTGGTTCAAGTCCCACTTCTTCCCAATGGATTTCCTGACCTTTCCTCCCTCTGTGAATTCCCAAGACACTGAGTCAGCATTTAGTTATTTCCTATCTAGAATGATTCTTTGGGGTTTTTTAAGACTTACCTCCTAACCTAAGATGTAAAATTCTTGAGGACAAAAATCATGGCCCAAAAGAAAATAGTACCTATGCTATTGTTGTTACTATTTTAAGGTTATTACTGCTGTGTTATGACTGTTATAAACTATTTTTTTATTATTGTTATTGTTATTTTGAGGATCACTAAAGTTACCTTTGTAAGTTGAGTTATCTTTAACATAAGAAAGTATCGGAGACATATCTAGGTTAACCTCATGAGATACCTGGGTCAGAACTTCCCAGCTGGATTCCTGACCCTCAAAAACTGAGATAACAAATAGTATTTGTTGTTTTAAGATGCTTAAGAGAAGGGAAGAGTGTTAGAGTCATATTTCCTATCTCACTCATTAACAGAAAACTGGCTGAATAGAAAGCAGAATCATCCTGATTTCCTGTAACTAGAGATCACTGGCTTGAGGACATAAAGTGGAGAAACAAGCATACAACCTCACACATCCTAATCTTAACCCTACCTGTGGCCTAGTCCACTCAGCTCGCTGACACATGAGGCTGACAATTTCAAGTCTCATGTTGTTGTACAGCCATCCATTTTCAGCACAAGGCACTGGCCTTATTTATATTTTTAAAAGATTTATTTTTAAGAAGCACCTCTCATTGGTTCAGCCGAGCTAATCTGAACTCAAGGCAGTAAAACACTCCAAACTTGGAGAGATAAACACTGACGTAGTCCAGTTTTAAAATTAACTTTGCTAAATGCTTCCCAAGCTCAGATAATTCCACTTTGGTTGTGAAAATGTAGCCAGAAAAAGATTCCAAACGAAAAGCTGCAGGACTTCTTAGAATAAACCATAGGCTCCAGGCCCTGACCACAGGAACCAGGCTCTCCCACACGGAATTCTGCAGCTCAGCACCACCTATTACAGGCCCTGAGTGACAGCTTCTTCCCATCATTTACGCATTCCCCCAGGCACACACTGAAGCCACCCTGGAGGTCAGCATTAGGTGATGCCCACAGACATATCCCCACTGCCGACTCCCATCCCAGTCACCACCACAGCCCACAGAGAACTCTCCTTTCTTATCCCCCAAGTCTTCTTAGAGACCCAAAAGGACCCCTCTGGAAATTCTGGGTCCAAAGTCTGGCTGAAACCCAAGCATCTGTATTTTTTAAAAGCATCATGAGTGACTCAGATGTGTCATCTGGGTTGAGAACAACTGACAGAGATGTTATGCTAGGATGTAACACATACTTAGGAAGACTTAGTTCCGCACTCATCCCTGCCACTTCCCAGCTGTGAGACCTTGAACAATTTACTTTCCTCAGCCTCCACAACAGAAAATGAGTTGCTGTGGGTATCAGATAAAACAAGAAATGAGGTTTTTTAGTAAAACATACACACAAACACTTCATATTTGTACAGTGTTTTATAGTTTAGAAAATGCTTTTACACCCACTACTTCAAATGAGAAAAGCCTACTAATGTTATAGGGTGGGTGGAAATTATAATTATTACCATGTTACAGATAAGAATACTGGGATTAAAATAAATAGGTAAGGGGGGGCGGGGGGTCACAGTAAATATCAGAGGTAGTGCTGGCGGCAAGAATGACACCAGGCGTCAGACCAGTGGAGCCAGACCGGACCTCGGTTCAGCAACCTCGGTATTTGAGTTCTGGCTAAGAAAGAATTCAGAACCACAACTGAAACTGTAAGAAAAAGTTTATTTAGAATGTCACAGAGGTAAAAGAAGTGAGCCGTAGGAGAAATGGGCTTAGGAAACAAGTTACAGAGGCAAAGGAAGAGTCCTTGGAGCTTAGGAAAGAGAAAGGTAAAGCTAACCCGCCAGGGAGGGAAGAAAAGGGGAAGGGGAAAGGAGTGGGCCAACTCCAGGGAGAGCTCACTGGCCCTCCTCCGAAGGGCTGTTAAGGATGGAGATTTTTAGGGAGAGCCCCAGAGGGGGGTCTCAATATCTCAACGGAATTTCATTAGCTTTCCAGGTGTGTCCACTGATTGGTCAGCTCCAGGGAGGGGGTCACTAGTCAATGCAGCTGGTCCTGATATCAGCCATAGTATAGCTTGTCTGGTTTTGTTGCTTTTCTGGGCCAAGCACTGAAACACAGCTGAGGCCTAGACATATTTGATGTGGGTCAAAACTTCATTGTCCTGGGCTATTCTCTGACCCCCTTGTTCATTCCCTGTCTAAGGGGGTCTAACGGGCATTACTAGCAACATGCCAGGGGAGGCAAGGTCAGCGAGGGCCCCAACCACATGACCATCGATGTGAAAGGTTAGGGGGTCTAAACCACCTGACCAGCAATATGCTAGAGAAGGAAAGGTTACCCAGCGGGTGAGGTCCTTGTTTTCCCAGTTCTTCTCCTTGCTAAGCACCCAGGGCTTTGGACCAGAGTGACCTTCTGTATCTGCCCCAGCATCTTTGGTCTGCTCATGTCTGTCTAACTGCCAACCACAGTAGGACTCAATCTAGGTGATCTAAGTCCAGTTCTAGACCATTTCTCTGTGCAGCTGGTATAAATTTTCAAATATTTTACAAAGGGCACACCACTTTAAAGACTGCGATGATGTGAATCCTGCTGGGACTAGGTTAAGCACAAAGCAGCAGGTCAACAATGCTGATTGGTTGAATGGCAATATCAACTGAGCACAAAATCAAGCTGAATAAAAGCTCCAAACAAAAGGTAAAAACCACTTTTCGAAAAATGTCATTTTGATGTACACATGAATCATAGCCATCTAGGACCTTAAACCTGTGAGCTCAGGGCATGTATGGAAAATCTATAACTAGAGAATGAAAGAGAAGTTACTAGATCATTTCATAACAACTTCTTATAACTCTATACTTTGAATTTATAGAGATGCAGCTTTAACCTTGAGGTAAGAGATTTGTTTTCAGACCAGATTTGGCCTAAGGTTACTCAGTAAGGATTTCCAGAAGTACTACTGGAGCTATAGCTCTTTGGCCTAGATCAGTGGTCGGCAAACTGCAGCTCGCGAGCCATATGCGGCTCTTTGGCCCCTTGAGTGTGGCTCTTCCACAAAATACCGACTTCTGCGCATGGGCCACGAAGTTTCAATCGCACTGTACATATTTTGTGGAAGAGCCGCACTCAAGGGGCCAAAGAGCCACATGTGGCTCGCGAGCCGCAGTTTGCCGACCACTGGCCTAGATTGTTTTCACCTACATAGACAACCTGATCCAACTTCACCTTTATAATATCTCATTTATCTAATTACTAGAGGCCCATTGCACGAATTAGTGCACCAGTGGGGTCCCTTGGCCTGGCCTGTGGGATTGGGCCGAAACCGGCTCTCCAACATCCCCCCAAGGGGTCTAGGATTGTGAGAAGGTGCATGCCAGGCCAAGGGACCCCACTAGTGCACGATCGGGGCCAGGGAGGGACACAGGAGGTTGGCCAGCCAGGGAGGGACCCCAGGAGGGCTCCAGGGCGTGTCCAGTCTGTCTCACTCAGTCCCCATCGGCCAGACCCCAGCAGTAAGCTAACTTACCAGTTGGAGCATCTGCCCCCTGGTGGTCAGTGCACATCATAGCAAGCGGTTGAGCAGCCTTAGCATATCAGCATATTACGCTTTGATTGGTTGAATGGCCGACCGGATGACCAGACACTTAGCATATTAGGCTTTTACTATATAGGAGGATAGGATTTCAAAGGTATGAGAGACTATATTTATCCATTGGATTGATTCTAATGTTTTAGCTTAAGACATTGCGATCTACAGAGAAATAATTAACCCAAATCAGGCAGCCAATTTATGGGAGAACCAAGACTATAACCTAGATATCCAGACCCCCACTTCCCTATTCAGCACCTAAGATCATCCCTTTAGTTCCAAATGATGTCTGAAGGTTATTCTTCCATCTGCTGCTATGAGCAGAAATCTTTTTTTAAGAGTTTTATTGCGATATAATTCATATAACATATAATTCACCTATATAGTGTACAATTCAGTGGCTTTCTGTATATTCACAGAGCCTGGTGAAAATCCCCACAATCAATTTCAGAACATTTTCATCACCCCCAAAAGAAAACCCACTTAGCCAAAATTCCTCAATTCTATCTGCCTCCCCCACAGCCCTTGACAACAATTCATCTACTTTTTGTCTATGGATTTGCCCATTCTGAACATTTCATATAAAAAGAATTATATAATATGTAGTCTTTTGTGACTGCTTTCTTTCACTAACATTGTTCTCAAGGTTCACCCATGTTGTAGCAGGGGTCAGAACTTCATTTCTCTTTGTTACCAAATAATATTTCTTTGTATGGATACACTACTTTTTATTTATCCATTCATTCATCAGTTAATGGATATTTGCATTGTTTCTACTTTTGGCTATTATGAATAATGCTAGTGCAAACATTCATGTACTAGTTTTTGTGTGGGCATGTTTTCATTTCTGTGTTATGTGGTAACTAACTCTACTAGTATGTTTAACATTTTGAGAAACTGACATACTTTTCCACCGTTGACTATACTATTTTACATTCTGACCAGCAGTGTATGAGGGTTTCAATTTCTCCAGGTCCTTGCCAACACTTGTTATTATCTCTCTTTATTATTGTCATCCTAGTGGGTGTGAAGTAGTCTCTCATTGTGGTTCTGATTTGCATTCCCCAAGTGGCTAATGATTATGAGCATCTTTTCATGGGCTTACTGTATATCTTCTTTGAGAGATGTCTATTCAGATACTTTGCCCATTTTATAATCAAGTTGTCTTTTTATTGTTCAGTTGTAGTAGCTCCTGATATATTTCTTATACAAGTCCCTTATCAGATATATAATTTGGAAATTTTTTCTCCCAGTCTGTGGGTTATCTTTTTACTTTCTTGATGGTATCATTTGAAGCACAAGGTTTTAATTGATGATGCCTAGTGAGCAGAAATTTTATTATCTTCCTAGTTTGTCAGCAAGAAAAATTCCAGACTTTTAATTTTATTTTTTACATATATTTTTATTGATTTCAGAGAAGAAGGGAGAGGGAGAGAGAGATAGAAACATCAATGATGAGAGAGAATCATTGATTAGCTGCCTCCTGCACACCCTCACTGGGGATCAAGCCCACAACCTGGGCATGTGCCTTTGACTGGAATCGAACCCAGGACCCTTCAGTCCGCAGGCTGATGCTCTATCCACTGAGCCAAACCAGCTAGGGCCCACACTTTTAATTTTAAAAGTCCTCTTCCTTTCCTCAGCAATTAC